CACAATCGTGCCAGAACGCAATTCTTGGGACTTGAACACCGTGAATCAACCTAACTGTTGCACCCTCATAACCCTGAATCTTTCCAACACCTCATTTGTGGTACCATGACCATGGGATTCCGCGAAATTCTTGCAATGTTTAAGAAGACATATGCGCGGCGCTGAGGCGAGAGCCACATTCTGAAAACGTCCAGCCCTCAATCCGTGAACCCCCTGCAACTTTTACAACGAACGTAAGCGTCGCCACGGCGAGAGCCACATTTTGAACACGACTCGCCCTCAATTCGTGAAACTCTTGTAGATTTTGAAGACGAGTGAGCACGGCGCTAAGGCGAGAGCCACATTCCGAAAACTACCCGCCCTCTATCTGCGAAGCTATTGCCAATTTTAAAGCTTCAGGGTCATAATTGGTGAGGAAATCTCAGGCGAAACGCCCGGTCCGCCCTTTCGACCGGCCTCGGGGTGCGACAGGGAGAAGTTATCCAGAAGGAAAAGAGTGGAGGAGGATGAGGAGGAGGAGGAGGAGGAGGGTGGGGGAGGAGGAGGAGGAGGAGGAGGAGGAGGAGTAGGAGGAGGAGGACATCTCTGGACATCGCTGATATCCACAGAGTGGGGAGGAGGAAGCGCGGCCCGACGGTGGCCGTCCCAACGTCTCCGGGGCGCCCCCTAGGGTGACGGCCGCCGCCCCCTCGGCACGCCAGCGGTGAGTGCTGGGCCGAGGCACCGCCGAAAGGCGAGGGGGCAACCCCGAACCTAGCGAAAAGGAAGAGGATGAGCAGCTCCACCGCCACGAGCGCCAGGCCCGCCGTGCGCCGCCAGCTCTCCCACCAAGAGCGCTAAGCCGTGGTCGTCCCACCGTGGTTGGCCCAGCACTGCATGCAGAACCGCCACCCGCAGGAGACAACCGATCATGACACGAACTGCTCGGACGGCTCGAAGTACTCGCCATCGCAGAGTTGGCAATCAAAGTCCTCCTCGTCAGGCGGCACGGTCTCGAAGACCAAGGCCTGCCCTGCAGCACTCGGAGCTCCTCAAACCCCGCTGGATGGCGCCGTGCCGCAGCTTCAACAGCTGGTTAAACATGACCCCGTCGGGAGCCTCCTCGGCGGCTGCCCAAACCTGAGCAGATCTCCAATCCAGCGGGCCGTCAACGGCCAAAGGGGGCGACGGTCCAGCCGCGCCCTGCTGCGGGGCGCTGCCACAATCCGCCAGCTCCGCGTCGTCGAAGTCCGCAGAGACCTCGCCACCGTTGCAAGGACCAGGCGCCGAAGTCGCTCCAGTCGCGGTGAACGATGAAGGAGATGCCAAACTCATCGCATGAATTGCGAGAACATGGGAGGTGGTGGCGACAGCACCCGTGCCAGGGCAAGGCCCCTTCACCGCCCGTCGGCGGTCCTGGCACGAGGCTCGGGGAGGGGAGCAGCTCCTCGCCCGTCGGCGGGTCCACCATCACCCGAGGGCCACCACCTCCAAGCACCGAAGGCGAACAGGAGCGCAGGCTGAAGACGACGCTCCTGCAGCAGAATGTACCTGGGCACTTCTGGCTTGCCCACCACCGTTGTCAAAAGCATACTGGGCAGTTCTGGGCTGCCCCACAACCTTCGCCAATAATTTGCAGACGGGGCAAAATTCTGGGCTGCCCTCATCCTTCGTCAAAAGAGGTGCGGAGATCGGAGGAAACTGGCAAAACAGGTGCAGCCGAAATATGAAATCCTGGCTGGGCGAGCGGCTCCCTTGCAGCAGCCACCGTCTCAACGGGCGGCAGGGCAGCCATCCCCCGCAGGGGCCCTTCTGCGGCCGGCGCCGCGGGCAAGTCCGAGACGCTCGTGAAGGCGACGGTGCCGCACGTGCAGCGGACGCCCCGCCGCGCGCTCGGCACGAAGACCTCCGCGTCGACCCGCAGCCAGCCTGGCCTCGACCTCCTGCTCCTGAGTCTCCTTGCGCACCTGGGACCCCTCGAGAGCGTCGAAACCGACCTCGGAGTCCACGACAGCGGATGACATGGATTTGAAATATAGTCCCTGCTCCCAAAACCACTCCAGAACACCTGCATGCCACACTGCGCCGCCCGTGACGGGGAGCGGCGGCTGCACCTGCAGGGCGCCGAGGAATAGGTCACGAACAGCTGGGACAACGTCCTCGTCGCTATCGTCGTCGACGGCCGCAACGCCGTCGGTCCCCAGCCGACTGCCTCGCTGCGCGCTGCGCCATTCCGAAAGCGGCGCCCCAGCGGCAGGGCATTTCTTGGCGTGGAGGGCGTCGTTCCGCACTAACCGAGCCTCGTTGGGCTCCGAACGACCTCGAACGCGGGCGACAAGAGCGGGGCGGGCCAAGGCCTCTCGGCGCGCGACCTCAACGGCCACGGCGCCGCGGCCGCTGCCACTGCCCAGCTGAGCCCGCAGCCGAGCCACTTCGTCCTGCAGCTTGGCGACCGAACGGTCCGCCGCTGCGCGTGCACCTGCCGCGTCGCACAGCACCTCCGCCTCAAGGCGGCGTCCCG